AAAACATCACTCCAGATTTGGAAAGACAAAAATAGCCTTCATGAATAAAAAATGCATTAAGATTCATTAATAATATTTTCACCTTGTCTTTACCTGTTGGGATTCATATTTTTAAGCACAATTTGCTTTAAAAAAATGATCAATTCCTTGTTTTTAAAGTCATATTGCACAATTAAAATATGATATAAACATGGAAACAATTAAAATATTATAATAAAGTATTATAAAAAGTTTTATTAAAAATATTTTAATAAAATTATAAATTAAATTACATTTTATTGTGCAGTACAATTAAAAAAAAACAAAAAACTATTCTCTTACTATTATTTTGTACTAATAACGGCTTAAGTCATTTTTTTTTTTTGAACAGTTTTGTCATGGGACGGGTTCGAAACCCGCCCAAGAGAGGGGAATGTGCACTTTTCAGTAACTCTAGCCACTGGGCCACACGGGCCAAGTGCAACGGCTTAAGTCATTTTTCCTTTTTAGTAAGAGAATATTTCATATTGGATCTTCAATTTTCCGAGTTGAATGTTGTTGCAGTTCTTTTCTTTTTGGTTTAAATAACTTTTTGGTTCCTTAGCTTTTTGCTTTATACCAAACTTGCTCAACTTTTTTATTTCAATTTAGTCCATCAACTCTCAAATTTATTTCAAGATAATCTTTATATCAAAACTGGAGTCTGAGTTACTGCCTAAAAAGATCAAGAAATTGGAGAAAAAATTTAATAGAATGAATAGGAATTGCAAAAGATTAATTAAAATCATCCAACTAAGTTAAGGGAGGGACCATATGGGGACAAAAAAGTATACTAAAAATAGTTGAGAAACCATTTTAGTAGAAAAAATTAAAGTTGGGGATCTTTTTTCTTCCTTTAGTTTCTTTTCTTGCTCATGTAAGCAAGGATGTTTTTCCATTTTCGTCCAAAAAATTTTCAAATTTAGAGGGAAAAAAAAAACCCTAACACAAAAAGTAACCCTGCCAAAGACCTTCGTAATTAGTTGGGAATGGATGGACTCCAACAAATGAGACGCTCTATCTTTTATTAAGGGTAAAGTTCACAGCATGCTTTTTGCAAGATAACGGTGAAATAGACTTTCTTTTATTACAATAAAATTTAAACAAAATTTTTAATATGTACATATAACTAAAAATTGTGATAACTAAATTCAAATATCTATATTTGGAAAGGGTAATAACTAAAGTTAGAGGAAGGTAGTATATAATTATATAATTTTTAAAATAAATAAAACCTTATTTAAAACCAATTTAATAACTAAATTCACATTTTTGGTTAATCGGTTAAAGTTGATTACATATCAACAATAGACTAAAATATCATTAGATAGCATTTGTCGGTTAAAATTAATCAATCGGATGGCCAATTAACCAACAGTTCAGTTAAACAATTTGTTGGTTAAGTTGGCCAATCAATGAAGCTTGGGGGCTTGGGGACAACAATTGGAGCAAAATGAAGGTTGGGGAAGAGAGTATCTTAATATATATATATTTTTTTGTACTAATCTTTTATATCCAGAAGTCATAATAGATTTCAATTAATCTAAAGTCAAATTGCGTTGGAAACTCTCTTAATGTTAATATTTTTATTTATAAAACTAGAATTTAAAATTTTATTTAAGGAAAATTAAACTTCTTTAACTCAAACAAACAAATCATTGGTAAGATAATAAGAATGTCAAGTGTGAATATAAAAATTTCAACCTTATGTTAAAAAGGTATGAACTAAGGATTTACCCTATCTTATATAAAATAAGTTAACTATCATTTTTAATCCTTAAACTTGCAATTTTTAACTTTTTTAATCCTTAAGTTATTTTTTATACTTTTGTTCTTAAATTATGAAAAATATTTTTTTAATTATTTCATCAGTTAATTTCACTAATTATATCTTTATATGCATATTATAAGTTTAAAAAAATAAAAATATGTATATATTATAAATTTAATAATTAAAAATATATGCATACAAATAATATTAGCAAAATAAATTAATGAAAAAATTAGAAAATATATTATTTATAATTTTAAAAAATAAAAAAGTAATTCAAAAAATAAAAATATTTAAAATTAAAATTTCAAAAACTAAAAATAACATTCCAACATTAGCATGATCCTTCAGGATGATTGTACTGGGACCACGTTGCTTAACTATTAAGCTTCAAGAACTTCTGATGTATAAAAAAAAAAAAAAAGACTTTTTAACTAATAAGATGTTGGAGCAAAGCATCATTCCTTAATCGTACTAGTAGGTTTTGGCTCCATTTTTTATGCACATGCCTGTTAACCTAGTAGGTCCATAACTCAGCTAGTCCTATGCAACCCCAGCTACTGCTGGAATCTAGACTAGTCCTACGAATTTTTCTAGCAACTTGACTAAGATTCCAACTCCTTGCAACTTTGTGTAGTTGCTCACTCTTTTTTGATTGACCTCGTCACCCATTAACACATCCTTGGGTTGGAGGTTAAATTGAAAAGGAAAGTACTAACATAAAAACATCTTCTTATGGTTGTAGAAGTTTCACTAAAGCAATCTAACTTCTGAGTCAAGATATTTTCTACACTCTCATAAACAAAAGCATTAGAATAAAAAATTCCTTTAATTTTTCATTAAATCAGAATCTTCAATTAAAAAATACAACACTTGCTAACTATATAAAAGTTAACTATTTAAACCTCTAACTAATACTCATTTTCCTTTTACCCATTAAAGTTATCAATCCTTAATGAAAATGAAGAGAAGATGGCGGTTCGGAAGAAGCACTAATTTGCAAAGTGTAATTAACTTGGAGAGCAGTGATCAACTGATCATAGAAAATCGAATCATTAAACATTTACAATGCAAATGGTGGCAGAATCTGAGCCGATCCATTTATGATCAAAATGCACATGAACCATAAAAATAGTCTTGGAAGCGGGCAATTACATCCTCCTTTTTCCAAGTCCCAAACACAACCCAAAAAAAAAAAAAAACGGTTGCCCTTCCCGCCAAAATTAAATAACAAAATAACACCCAAAATTAAACCCACATATTTAATTCCCCGTTATTAAAACCTAATAATATTTCATTTTCAGTTATTAAAAGAAATAACCGGACGACGAACCCAAATCAAACCCGTCCGTTACTGAATCCGAAAACAGTGGGCTATGCTGCCCCATTCCATTCGGGTCAAAGCCCAAATAAGAACCCGCTGAATCGAATTCAACCCCCGATTGTCCTGAGAACCCGAAATATGAACCCGAGTCGCTCCACATTCCATAACCCATATCCGAACACGACACCGACCCGGATGAAACATCTGGAGGCAAAGGTGGCAGCTCGGAGTCATTGCTGAACTGGCGAGAACCACCGCTGCCGTTGTCCATAACTCCGGTGATGGGCTGATAGGACCCGACCGTATCACTCCACCCATCTCCGATGGGTAACCCGCAGGGAAACTGGCATGACCCGAACGGGTCTTGAGAGAAGAACTGGTTCTGGTTAAGATTGTTATTTTGGAGAGGAGCAGAAGCGAAAATGGAGGGAACGTCGTGGTGGGATTCGTCGGGGGAGATGATGGATGTGACGGAGGAGCCCGGTGGCATGTCGGAGTAGACGAAGTTAGTGCGGGCTTTGGAGCCGCGCATGGAGCGGGCGGCACGGTCATAGGCTAAGGCAGCCTCTTCAGCAGTATCAAATGTCCCGAGCCAATGCCTCTCCTTGGTTGTGGGGTCTCGTATCTCCGCCGCGTATCGCCCCCACGGCCTCCTCCTCACTCCCAGAAACCTCGTTTCCGCCTGCTGGTTGTTGTTGTTGTTGTTTTGTTGCTGCTGTTGCTGCTTTCTTTTGGTTTTGGTGGAAGATGGGGATGATGATGAAGCTTTCGGGTTACTAAAATCCATGATGATATGATACCTGCAAGAGATTCAGTACTCCTTTTTTTCAGTAAAAGTCGAAAGAATAGTTCGCTCTGTGCACACTGCACGGCTCTACTGCAAAGAACCCTTTTGCTCAGAGGAGTGGAAAAAGGGGACTGTTTCTCTTCTTTTCTGGGAAAAGAGAAATGGAAGGTGAATGAAGAATTTGGGGTGGGTTTGCATGCTAAGGGGTTTAAATAACGGGTATTTTGCATCAAACAAATGATGGGTGTGATGGGAAAATCTTTCAAGTCTCTGGTCTCATGTTGCCTAATCATCTAGTTGGGTCCACTATTTTGGTGGACCCATGAATTTATTCTCATCAAACTGCTCGCATGCTACAGTGCCGTTCATCATGGGTCACTCAATACCGTCTCTTTTTCTAGAATCATAACATATAATAATTGATGCAAGATGCAAGTAATAACTTGATACCACTTGGAGCTTTCCTCTAAATGCCAAACTTCAACTCCTGGCCATGAGATATGGGAAAGAACAATCTTCCCGTAAAAAGGGAAAAAGGAGCAATCTACTGTCTTCTTATTTTTTTTCCTCTTGGTCTACTATTTGCTTGATAAGCTAATTACTGTTTGAGCTCGCCAGTTCGGGGAACTGTTTGTTGTCAAACCAAAGGTGGAGTTTGGCATAACAAGGAAAGCTTTTCCAATTTCCGCTCATCCGCAAAACTGAAGGGTAAAATTGGCATTTTAACATATATTTTTTGCAGTTGTTGATGGGTAAAGTTTAATTGGGGAAAGTTGCAGATAACTGTAGTTATAATTGTAGGTTTTTTTATTTTTATAATATAATAAAAATTTATAAAATATATTTAATATTTATTTTAATTAATATTTTATATATTTTTATGACAAATGAAAAAAAAAAAAGCTAAAGCAATAATTGAGAAGCATTCTAAGATGAAATTTAAGTTATTCTTCCCACGATCTTGGGAGTAAAATATTTTTTCTGAACAATATTTTTTTGATTTTTTAATTTTATAATCTTAACTACAAAATCAAAACTATCAAAAAGGAGAAGTACACAACTAAAAGAATAAAATTTTCTACATTCTTAATTTCTCTAAAATAACTTATCTTTAAAACTCACGTACTTACCTCACTCACATGTTTGGGATTTAAATCTTAAATATCTTACTTTCATTAAAAAAGAATATTACCATTGGCTTATTTAGTTCAATGCCACATTTGACCTTGTGTTGGAAATGTGTCTTTCATTTGAGCAAAAAGATAATAGAATCACTAGATAATAAGTACCCACCGGAATGCAAAATACATGTAGTCATGAGCAACTTAACACCCATATGATTGGCATGTGCACCTCATCAGAACAAAAACTTTCTTTTCCAAATTATAACACTTTCCTAGAACCGCAAAATTGTTTTTAGGACAATCCCATGAAGTTCATTGCACTTATTATCAAATCTATACTATAATCTCCCTCTAATAAAGTTCCTCACATGCAAGGAACTCTAAGGAGGAAAGTGACTGATGACTTGAATCAGGAGCTAATCATGGATTGTACTAATAAAAACAGTGGTGTTTGTGAGGATGCATGCCTCAGCAACTTTATATCCAAACCCCTCAAAAAGTTCTTTGACAGAAACCTGCATTATATGATTGCTTAATACATTTTTATCACAAGTCCAATTGTATCATTCATCCCGCGATGATCCAATTGTCAGTACCCATGCATGATTCTTCCTCTCATACAATTATTAACCAATGTTTTATTTATTTTTCTGACCACCTTTTTATCCTTTTAGGAATAAAATATATGAGGTTGAGATATAAATAACTCCTGAGTAACAGGGAAACTGGAATTTAGTCCCTGAATCTTTATTTTTTTTTAATTAAGTTATTGTAAACAATAGTTATATGATATTAAATAAGTGAATATATATTAATTTATGTGTTTTCCCAAGTGAAAAAAATTACCTCATCCAAATTATATTTGTTTTTAAGGACCCAGTTTTTTTTTCTAAAAAAAATTAAGGACTAAATTTTGCTTGGACAAATATTTTTTGTCAATTTTGAAGATTATCCAACATCTAAATCTGTTTAATCAAGAAATTGGATTTTCTAACATATATTTAACAAAATTAAATTTATTGTAACGAATGAACTAATTAAATATGTTTAATCAATTTCAAAATTTCACATAATCTATTTAAATAAAATGTTTAATTAATCCAATAATTGTGTTTTCAAAATATTAATTGAAAGATTTTTTTATAAAAAAAATTAAGAGTCCAATTTCTTTTTTAAGTCGAGATTTATATTATTTCTTTTTATAAAATATAATAATTCTAATTGCTTAATCCCTCCACCTTTGGGTATGAATTTGCTTGGTAATGGGGCGGTTTTTGCAAGAATCATAGGATTATATTATATATACTTTATAATCAAGCCAAAGACTATACCCCAATTAAAAAGAAAAAGGATTTTTTTTTTTTTTGCTTAAAAAGGGAAAAGGATTATTCATCTATTGTATAGCCAACAATTAAGCAGAAAAAAATAATCCTTCTATAAAATAATACATTTATTAAGCTTTTTTACGTGGAACACATAGGGGAATTATTTTATAATAAGAAGCCATGTGCATCCAATTTAAGCCAAATATAATGATAAGTCCCACAATCTCTTCTTCTCACCTTTTGAAGCCCCAAATGTTGCCTTTTTTTCTCTTTTCCAAATAACTATTATTTTTGAAGATTGGGACATGCCTTTCCCTTTTTTGATTCACGTTGGTATAAACACTTGAAGACCTCTAAATGAGAGAAATGGCGCATGTTGGGTTGCATGTGGGAGAGACATATAGGCATATGCTTTTTTGAATGAAACAATCACTAGGAATACGACCTACTAATTGTTAATTATTGATGACTACATTAAAAATCAACAAGAACAAACCCAACATGGATCCCCTCATTCCATTCCCAATTTTGATCTAAAAAAATAAGAATTCATAATCTTATTAGTTTTTAGTGATAAATGATTAATGATTAATGGGATATATCAAAGAGTTTGGAATAACTTAATTACTCATAAATCTTATATATAACTCTTATACAAAATTCTAATAATTCAGTTTTGTATTATGAAGGATAGAGATTTATTAAACTTTTAGATGAAGACACTTACTTTTAAAGATGTCAATTTAAATTCAATTTAAATAAGATTTTTTTAAAATTGTCAACTTAATATAGTTAATGTCTTTTTACAAAACCTTAATAGAATTGATAAAGTCTTTTTATTGTTGTATCAATAACTAAAATTGTATTGCAACTTGACTTTTGGCCGGGTTACAAAGATTTCTCTTTGTTATGCAACAAGGGAAAAAAAGGGATTTCTATAGGATTTTTTTTCCCTCCTCAAAGGATATTCTATAAGATATATCATGAAGAGCATCTAATTAATTTCAAAGTCAAATAGTCGTAGAAAGCATCTTTGAATCCCTTAGCACCATTTTGGTGTTTTTTCAAATAGGAAAATCGGGTATCCCAAGGTTAGAGATACGATTTTGAGACCTCTTTTTATTCTTACATTACATGGCAAACTAGATTTGATTCCAACTCCCCAGTCTCAACCAAAGTGAGAGTCGCATAATAAGGTCAAAAATGTGCAAAGACTTTTGAGGAAAGACAATATTTTTTTATCAATTGGGCACCAAATTTGATGTTAATGTGACACAGTGCGACATTGGGATTTGGATAAGGAGAATGCATGCATTATCTTCTCAATCTTCTAGGGTTTCCCCCCACGCCTACTAATTTGAATTAAATGTAATATTCTTATTGGGCTTTTGGAGTTAGATCACATTTTATGAGGTGATTAATAGTAACTAGATAGAAGGGAATTGTCTTATTATTATTTTTTTTTTATCTATGTATAAAAGAATATTAATTAGCTAGGTCTTGAATTTAAATGTTTAAAATATATTGTGATAGATGTTTTTTCTATATGTTGTATATGTAAATTTTTTTAATCTTACAATTCTTTTAATCAATCTTGAATCAAAATATAGTACAAATTAAACTCTATTATATATCAATCAAGAAAAAAAAAGCTAAATTCTCATAAAGGAAAAGGGCAAAGGTTATTTGGTTAATTTGAATACATAATAGTGTAGTGATATTATAATGTGTGCAAAGCTATTCAACAAATTTAAAAAGATTTGTGAAAAGTCGGCCTGTCCCTTGGTGGTACCTAATACCTAACATGGTATACTAAGGTCTTTAATTAGCTATATATACTAGTATATAAATTGGTAAATTGGTGTGAAAGTAGATTAATTTATCTATCAAATTGACTAATTAATACTGAAGGACAGAAGACTAGAAATATGTAATTTTATTTTAGTTGCATGCATTTGATTGAGTTTACTGTTGACTCAAAGACCTATCTCCTAAGAGGATTTTCCTAATTCCAAGGTTGGATGACAAATTTTAATTTTATGTAGCAATATGTCGATGTTGAGTCCCACCTCTAAAATTGTTTGATGAATAATTAATTTTAAGATTTAAATAATCTTGACTGTTGAAACCAAAATATATGCAAGAAAAACAGGCAGTGAAAGACGAAGACAACAAAGATGAACATTGCCAAGTTGAGATTATTCCTTTGATAATCCCATGAATCTCCATTTCCAAGACGCAATAAAACATATGATGATGTGAAAAGATGTGTTAGAAATTAAGGGAGAGTCAAAGAGGCAACCATTCCCGTAGAACATGGAACACTTGATGTAGATGTTGGGGCCCCAGCAATAGCTAGACCCTGCACAGTTCACAGAATCCTTCCTTTGGCCTTATTTTGTTGTTTCTTTCCTTCTTTGAAGGTCATTCGGATTTCAAGATTTTGAGCTTTCAATTAATCATTCTAGAGGAAGATTAGAAATGATCAAACGTATTTTGTATGGAGTTAGAATTCCACGCACACTTGTGTAAATCTTACATAAATTGTTTACTGTTGATATTTAAATCTTATATTATTAAAGGACTTTTCTTATTTGTGTCTTTAGATATAATTATTGTACCTTTTTTATATTAATTAACATTGAAAAAATTAAAATTAACTTTTATTTAAGTAATTAATTATTCAATTAAAATGATTTATATAGTACTAATGATGAAATTAATTAATGACAATTTTTATATTTTTCAATACTAATTAATGTAAAAAAAGTTCAATAGTTACACCATTAACTTAGACATATAGGTTAGAAAAACCCATTATTAAATAATAAAATTATAATTTCAACTTGTTATTTGAAAATCAACTAACACTTACACATGTATAAATAATATTAACTCTTCTATTTGTGGATTATAAAAATTCTTAATTTACAGTTTAAATCATATTAAATTATAAAATAAAAGCTATTAGTTGGGAGAGAACCCCAATATTTAAATTGCACAACACTTCTTTCGAATTGTAATTTTATAAAGCAAAATATAGTTCTCTTCTTTCCCAACATTTCTTAAACGTACTATGTATTTTAGTTTTAATATTTGAATTTTAGACTGCTACTTAGAAGTGTCATATCAAATAGTTGAATTTTTCGATGACTATTCATTTTTTTTTTTGATAAGAAATAGAGAATTATATTAAATATCAAGAGATTACATAAGAATCTCTAGCAAGGCATTATAGCCAAATGAAGGACAGAAGCATAACCTACAGCATTAGTAA